TCTCTTCCCATATAAATATTCCTTGGTCTGGCTTGTCCCCTTACCAAAGTGAAAGGCAGCATACTATCAATAAAAATCAAATGAACTCTTCAATGCTCAACTGTTTGTTTTGGGTTTTGGGGTTTTTTTTGTGTTTTTTTTGTTTTTTGGTTTTTTTTTTTTTGTTAGGAATATATCTTAGCCATTTTTCCCCCTTCTAAATATTTTAACTAATTCAGATGTTAAATAAGACCTTTGGTACTACACTTTCTATAATCCCTCTTCAGTTTGTCTGCTACAATTGTAATGCAGCAAATGGTATTAAAAAYAGTTTCCAGACTTAGTTTATCACATAAACCCTCTCTAGAAAATAAAACTCAAATAGCAAAACWATTTGGGTAAGACCCAGTTTGGGCTGAGTCTCTGTGAACTCCTGAKGTTGCAGCCACAGCACAGCAGTATGTGTGCTGTTCTCCCACCCACAGTGGTGAGCCTGGGGCTATGGCATCAATGCAGAAAKAGGTAACAAGACTCCAAACAGCTCTAGTTTGAAATGCTTCCGTGCCTTCTCCTTCATCCATCTATTTATTCTTCCCACTGCTCATCAGCCTTTGTCCAGTTTCTTCTGTGGCATTCCATCAAGGTGGCAATTCCCCATTTGTTCATGCAGTGAGCTCTGATCCTCAAGTCTAAGGAGTGCCAGGCACAAAACTGGAAAAAAATGCTTTCCACAATACTCCATTCAATAGTAGAGGCTTCTCCTACCTCTAGTGAGAACTGGTGATGTTTGGATGGCAGAAAATCAGATTTACTGTGTGTTCTTTGAATACTACTTTTCCAGTGGTAAYTCTCAATTGAGTTTTAGTTTGCAGAGTTATTTTAAAGTGGTTTTGTGCTRTTTGGCCAATCAAGTTTAACAGAGAATTGCAGTGAGATTAACTCAGTATTTTGGAGCTAATACTGCTTACCATAATTAAAATTCCTTTAAGCAGCTTAGTATAACTCTATTTATACCTGTTTATATGGGAAAAAAAAAATCTTACTCCTGATGAGCAAGCATAAATGGAATAACCCTGGATTGAAATTCAAATCACGCTTCTTCCTCATTGACTTATCAAGCTCTAATGATGTCTTACAGCAATCTGATTTTCCTATGTGCAGGAGATAAACTGATAAATATTCAGTAGTGCAACATAAAATGCAGGGTGTGACGATGCTGTATGACAACCAGTGTTTTCTCTGAATTCCTTAGGAGGAGGTGACAATCCATCTTTTATCAACCAGCAGGCTGGTGCCTTGCTGCACACAGAGACAACATTCAACAGCTTTGCTCGCTACAGCTTCCCACTTACAAACTAGGAAGCCAAGTTTCCTCTGACACTGGTGTACTTTTACTGCAGGATTTGACAGGGACCATTCAGAGTGTTGATTACTGTAATTAGAGCCAAACTCCCTAAAAGTCTTCTTCGTGGCAGTCAAGGAGAGGGGCCCCATCTTGTGGACATTTCCTGGAGCAGGTAGGGTCTGGCTGGGAATTTGTTAACCACGGTTCTGTTAGCAATGCAGCTCTGAAAACAAGCTGTGATAACCAACTGCACCAGATCTTGCCTAAACTAAGCTAAACTCAGCCGGGCTGAGAAGTCACAGTTACGTGCAAAACCGCCCTCATTTCCTTCTCTCGGGGCAAGCCATCCTCACACTCCTGCAGGTGTSAGGCATTCTTCCTCAGCTTTTAAAGAAGGATCTGGAGAGAGGACTTGGCTGTTTGCAAACTCCTTACCTGCTCCCCGAGGAGAGGGAATGAGGGCACAGAGGGGTGAGCCAAGGCGAGGTGAGGGCATCCAGCAGCACCAAGGTCAACTCACCAATCCAAGGAACAATTCCTCAGGAGCCCCAGAGGCTGTGGCATATGTGCCCAGAATGGCTGGAGACACCCCGTGCCAGCCCTCTCGGGCCAGAGCTCASAGCCTTTGAAGAAGAGCACAAGCAGCTTTCACATCTCCCCTACGAGAGCTGCTTACACAATCTCCAGCTGCATCCCACACACACTATCCCACACCTACAACACCTGCATCCTAGGGACAAGTGTCAYCCAAAGAGGCTCCCCACTGGATGCTTATGTTTAAGAGAATGTGAAGTATTTGGGGAAACAGACAGGAAAAAGCTGTTGCACATGCAGAGCGTGTTTCTAGCCCACTTCAAACAGGTTTTGACACCAATAATGCAACCGGCATTTTCACTTCAGGACAAACTCCAGCACACACTGCTTTCACAACTCMCTCAAATTCCCATTTTCATGATTACCAAGACCTTCACCGGGCTCTCCCCTTGTCTCCTACAAAAATGATATCATGTATGGTGCTGCCTTCACAAAGCTATGCCATTTGGAGAATTTTTCTGAGGTTATGTAGGCACAGGAGTGGTGCCGAGGGTCTGGAGCTCTCCTTGGCATACATGGGAATATTGCAGGACTGGGACCTGGACATTTGGCTACACAACATAGAGCTAGTGACCTGGTACAGCTCTCTGGGGAAATGGGCTAATAGAGACTCATACCAAAAGCACCAGCTCAGGTCAGCATGGGGGTTTTGGGAAACAAAGGAGGTTGGAGGTTGGAGGTGCCCCTGGAACTCACCCTTTTCAATCTCTTGTCATGGCCAGGATGAGACCACACCTAATTTTGCTACACCACCACTTATATTTACTCATCCTGAAGAGTTTTGAAACTCTTCMAAGAGGGAGATTCTGTCACTTCTCTGGGCAGGTTGCTCCAGAGAAGTTGTGAGAGATCTCAGAGTGCCGCGGTTCACCCAATGCCAGCTGCCTCCTCTCCTCACACTGCACCTTCCTGACATGTCTGGAAAATTTGTGCATCCATTTTCTATGCTGTTCCTCAGAACTAAAAACCAAAAGCTTATGTGCTTGACTGTAGTGAATCTAAAAGAAGACAACCTTAACTATCCCCTGCATGACTGAGAACTGTCTTAATGCAAGTATTGCATAAATTAATAAWGTCTTCAGTCCAAACTCTTCATYATTCACAACAACCAGCAGACCAGGCTTATTTGCCAGCACTGGAAGAACGAAAGAGTCTCAATTCCAGCATTTTTTGTATGGTAGATAGCAGCAATTCACACTGATGATAAATGTCTTGTACTGCACCTTATGGTACAAATTTTAATGTATAGCACTATCCTTCATTGTGTAATTTTGTCAGTCCTTGAGTTTATGAGATAAATCCCTCTGTCGCAGATCTCAAGGTCCCCAATACAACTGAAAAGAAGAATGACTATGTTCRCACACCCTGAAACGCCCTTATTTACACTCAAAAAAAACCAACCCTTTTTTCTTCTTCTGCCTTAAAACTCACTGASTGCAAAGCAGAACCTCAGATTCAATAAATAAGCAGCACAGGTTCCCCTGTTAGTTAGAGTACACGGATATAAATCTTATCCATTTGAAGTGGTCTTACAATGCAATTTTTATGACTGTGGCTCACATTGCCCTATCTTCACCAGAGATGAAGGCAGCAGACTCTTAAATGATTGGCAAGGCAAGGCAAGGCAAGGCAAGGCAAGACAACTGCTGCCAAGTCCATGCTTGAACACAGTCAGGGCTGTATTCCATAAGGAGGGAAGGTTCCCCAGATTTTTTGTGGTACAGTGGTGATATTTCTTTGATTGCATATGGATCAGAATGTGTCTGGGTAACAGAAGGTGCAAGGAAAAGGGTACTGAAATGCCAGCTCTTTTGCAAGGAACAGTGATAGAGGGACTCCTGCTCGTGTCAGAAAGAGTAATTATCAAAAATCAGGATCTCACACACAGAAATGGCACCCTTCCTGTAATGAAATAGGAACAACAACTAAAGTGTTTAATAAGGACTCCTAAATATATGAATGCATTAATACAGCTGGGCATGCTACTGTGAGAGACTGGTTTTTGAGATGTTGATAGAACGCTGCTCYAAACCTTTTGCCAAAGTTCTCTGATTTTCTGAAGTTGCCAGGGAAGTTTTTTGTAATTTCGGCCTCTTGAGAATATTGTTGGTATTTCTCCCACACATCTAACTCAGAGTACATTWAAAAASTGCAAGCCCTTTTAAGAGGCTCATMRAGCAAATATTATTAAATAGACYCAGTCTGTYRARGTGTGTGGAGAACCAKCYCTGACCACACAGTTACACYGACAGGATAACAATGTGTGAAACTGCCAGACATTCCTGATATCAAAGGGAAATTCATATTAATGGAGCTAGCTAGCCTTAACTTATGGCAACATTAACAAGGTGGCAGGGTGGGAAACTGAGAGATGTAGAAAATAAAAAAGCCAAGGGGTCCCTGGGAGAATCTCTGAGTAAACACTAGTTGCAAAGTCATTACTAAGGCAATGAAATTAAAAAATACACAAAGCCAGCTTGTACATGGGGATGCTGATTTTTGCCTATACATTATGTTGTTGAGGCTGATAAAGGAGAAGAACTTGAGAGAGGAGCAAGGATAATGTGAAGCAAAAAATATAATCAGGATTTAGTAAGCCCTGTGCCTGATCACCACAGTTTGGACCATGGCAACAAACTCACTGTTTCTGCAGTGTTCGTGTCTGGGTTACTTCCACTGCAGGGGTTGTTTATGTTTTTCCTTGATGTTGATGAAGGAATACCAGAAGTACTCTTCTTAATATTGCCAAGGGAAGACGTGGAGGGTGTCACCTAACAATATCACTTCTTCCTACCACCTTAGTAGAGCCAACTGTTTGTTTCACRCTTGGGAAATTCTGTCCAGTACAGCTGAGACAAACACTTGATAGATAATAAAAGAAAATGTCTGTATGCAAAACCAGGGTACTTCCATGTGAACACTTATAACCACCATCATCATATCAAAATAAAGCCTGAAATTACTGAAATAAAGTCATGATAAAGGGCTCACTAGAAAAGACAAATGGCTAAATAGTATCATTACTATCAAGGTCATAATGTAAGAATAAGAAAATAAAATAAAAAGCAAGAAAATTTCAAACTTTTTAATGCCTAATCATCCTTTAGTCCAACTTTTATTTCCCAATCTTCTGTAAATATTGTAAAAAATAATTTAAAACTATAAATTAAAATGATCCAATTTTAATTTGTGACAGTTTTCAAAATGAGATCTTTTTCCCTTGACTGTTTTCTTCTCTCAAATTGAATCTTTGATCTTGAAGCCTAGCATTCCTTTCTGCTATTGTCAAACAAACATTTTGAGCCAATCAATCATATCCCTTCTAGCTTCTTCAATGTAAGGTTTATCTTCTGGTTTCATATCTTCTGGCTTCAGCTGTGCAAAGCCATGAACTTGCCCAGGATAAACTTTAATTTTATATGGAACTTTACAATACTGTTTCAGCTTGTCCTCCAATAAGAAGATCTGTAAAAAAAAGCATTTTTCCATTACATTATGAAGGGTTTTTTTAAGTTTGACAAACTTGCTGTTTGTCATAGAGAAAAATGCCTCTTTGGGTATAAGACAGAAACATTTTTTAAAAATATGGGTGAGTTTAAGAATTTCAATAGTTGCAGCAAAGATGGTTTGGTAAATCTCATTGCCATAACCTACATTTTAAGCTCTGATGTTGAAATAACTTTTTCCATAAATCTTAGTGACCATCAGTCCAAAACATTGATAGCCTTACTAAAAGAGTTTAAAAAAACACAGAGGGCATTTTTTTTTCTTTTACTGTACAAGAAAAAGATATTATTCCTGCACAATGTTTTGGTGATAAGTACACATGCAAAGTAATAATCATGTGTTTATGTACTCATATAAATTTGCTGTCTTATTTGTTTGTTTAGTAAGTTTGTGCTTTTTACCATTAAAAAGTCAGAAATAGAAGAATGAACAACTATTTTTCTCCACAAGTTTATTAATACCCATTGTGCAGATTAGGGAGAGTATTGTAGTTTATTTCATGGGGTTTCGTTGTAGGGGTTTTTTTTCCATACTGAGCCCTTTTTGTTCAGTGCAAACTATGTATTTGAGGATTTTTTTTTTTTAATCCAGGATTTTTTTCTTACACAATCTGCACATAAAGAAAGCTTCAGGAGAAAAAGGTTTCAATGTGTAACACATGACAGAAAAGACTCATTTGCCAAAATTATGCCTCTGGGAGAAAGACACATTCACCATGAAATGAGGACTGGGAGTCAAGGATTTGTTTTCCTGTGTAGAAGAGACACATGTGAAGTATAGATTAACATGCTGACTAATGCATTCAGAAGTAAATATGAATGATTTCTGCAGTCTCCGAGCACACTGCCAGTTCTCCAGTCAGATCCTACCCTAAAAAATAACTGTGCTAGAGGTGGTGTCTTATCCTTGTCACTGAAGAAAAGAATTTGTGCACAGAAGAGGGCACCAGTTTCCTACCCATATATTTATCCAGCCTCTCATGTATTCTTACAGTAGGGGTTACATCAGAACACAGATGGCAGCCAGAACTCAAAACCTTTGAGTCTACAAGTTGTTACCTTCTCAGCTAAAATTCATGCCCACTCTTTTGACACAGTTCATTTTGTCTTCTTGTAGCAAAAGCCATTACTCACTGGTCCCCATCATCAGAAAGTTCAGTTACCAAGCTTTTTTGCTTTTTTTTTTTTTTTTTTTTTTTTAAGTATCATTCAGTGTTCAAATTCAGTGGTTTAAATACCTGATTTCACATCCACAACAGCAGTATACAGGTTTTTGAGACGCTTGGCTCCTACCAGTTGGATAACCCTGCTCAGTTTCACACTCTGCTTGTCTAGTCACACAGAGACTGATGACTGTTCTTTATTGTATTTCTCACCCCAAAGAAAAGAAGCTTTGAATAACTTAAACAAGATAGGGGGAAGTTGAAATATAAACAGAACCATCCAACCTGTCCTATTTTTTGTATCTGAAAATGGTTCCTAACAAGGATTTCTGTGTGGGATACATGAACTTTAAGGAAAAAGAAGTCTCTCCAGAACAACTTACCTGATCCAAAGAAATAGTGTGGTCTTTCTCACCAAAAATGAAAAATGTGGGATTTAGTAAATTGTATCTTTCTTCAGAGTCTCTAACTATCCCTATAAAATTTTGAGAAACAATCTATTAGTGAAGCTAGCATTGCTGCAAGATAAATGGCAAATTAAAAGGTAAAATTTCTATTTAAATTTACTAATTAGATACATTACTTAGATCAGGACAGTTGCTATTTGGATGGAGAAAAAGCATTTGGAAAGCAAATWTCCCTGCTGTCCAGGTACTAAAACAAGAAATTAATTTTTTTCTTGTTTACAGTATTCTTAAAATTTTTATGCCGATATGGCCTCTTGTTGAAATAATCGTAATTAAAATCTGCAACTCACCTTTGAGTTGAGTATTTATAGAAATTGTTACAAAGCAATAAGTAGAATTAMAAACTGTGCATAGTCATGTGAACCCAAGTAAGTTTTCATGTGTTCTACACTACCATAGAGGGACACCCCAGCGGTTAATTGAGGATTTTTCAGCATCAAGTGATGTACTGCCATTCCACCCCAGGAAAACCCAACGATACCAATCTTCTTTGCACCGCATTGTTCCTTTAGATACTTCAAGACAACATCAGCTTCCCTAAGACATATAAACAAAAGTAAACTAAGGAATCTATTGCAGAACCAATACTTGATCAATTTAAGAAGTAAATTACAAGACATACATCATATTTTGTCTGTAGCCCCAAACATTTAAAACAGAGATTACTTTGAAAAGCACATTTCAGCCTAGAGCAGTRGCTTCTGTTATTAAATGGGTGTTAACATCTCTGGTGCTAATTTAGGGAAGTACAGGTGTAGTCATTTAAATACTTACCTGAATTATCACCTGCTTCTTTGTTTTCAAAATTAGTTATTTTTATTTGAATCACTTTGTCTAGGACAGGACAACTAAAGACAAGACATATCTGGAAGTAGAACAATATCTTGCATTATGGACTGTAGGAATAGATAAGCTTCACTGTGCTATCTCTACAGAGTCCACTTATTTACATAAAGATTTTTCCTATGTCATTCCTGTTGCACAAGTTAATACTAAAATATCCTAACAAGCACACACATAGGAATGTTACACTAAAGTAGCAATTACTGAAAATTACTCTCTTAGTTACTACAATGTTTAAAAATGGCCTTTGCATGAGGTGTAATTAGAAAAAAATGAAAAATATTTTCAYTGTAGGTAAGAACAAATATTCTTTTTTTAATAATTTTTGACTTCTTAGATCTCAATATTTTATCTTCTTCATTACCTACAGAGTTTTAAACTAAGTATAAATGCAGACTGCACAACCTAATAACTATTTTCTTTAAGTATAAAGTATAAACTTTAAAGTATAAAGTATAAACTTTAAGTATATTTGTATGATCATTCAGGTTTGCTAAGCCTGACCAAAAGAACCCAGTATGAGAATGACATGAAGAGAACATTGCGTCCTCGGCTGTGGCCATGCTCTGTCAGATTTGGCTTCTTTGAAAGGGTACTAAGAAAGTCATGGGTATGTTGGATTCCATATTCTCTCAAAGAGCAAAGGATCTGAACTGGAATGTTCACCTGCAAGTGAACCCTCAGAAGACAGCAAAAACATGTCCTGAGATTTTAATTTTTTAAGATAGTGCCCACATATCTGCTTCTCTTTGGAATAGGATTTTTTWATAGTTGTTAGTCACTTGTCATTTAAAAAAAATTGGTCACGGCTTCTCCGATTATATGGTAAAAAACTTTGCTGAGAGATGTTGAAGACAGACTGTGGCTGTTGAAGCATCTGGATAGGGTCAGAAGAATATTTGTGGCTTACAGGATGGTAGCTGAGTAATAGGGTGTCATTGCCTCACTATCATCATATGAAGTTTTGAGCTGTGGTGAGAGATGCTGAAGAAATTAATGCCTCCAGTWATTCAGGAAGCCTTGTAACAGGCACTGTTAGGCTGTGCAGATAATGATCCTCTATTTCACACTGAGGAACATGTGACCAACTGCACTATTTATCTCAGGCTTTGGTCAGTCTAGCAAATTTTTGTGTAGTGCTGCTCAGGAGAACCTCATCTGTACCTACAATAATCTGCAAGGCAGAAAGCCAGATGGGCATGTGACAGCTGGCAGATAACATCCACAGGTGTAGAAGCATTTTTCTCTTTATCTTGAGGAACTGGGGGCAGAGTCAGGGCTTGGGGGTGATAGTAGTGAATATTTTGTAGCCTGTGAAACACCATGAGCCTTTGTGGCCAGTATAACATAGTTAGAAAAGGGCCCAGAAAACAAGATGGGCACAATAAACAGTGATGTGCAGAGCAGATGATCCTTTGCAAATCCCAGCCAAGACAGTGCCCRAATCACCCAGAATAAGAAGCTGGGYTTGTGCAGCCAGCTTGCSCTGGTGTGAGATGCCACTTRTAACATTTCATRTAAATTCCCCCTTGCTTGCTGGGTGCTTTTTAAAGTTCAGGAACAAATGTGTATCTTACTTGTCTACTTTCATAGGATCATGATTTTTCATCCAGTCAGAAAAGTCAGCCCAGTGATCAGTAGATGTCCAGGGTTTTGTCCCCTTGAAGAAGTCTGGGCAGATGGCTCTGTGTGAGATACRGAATTCGGTCAATTTTCAGCGAATCTGTGAATCTCTAAAAGTCTCCTAACATCTTCTAATCCAGAGTACACATCTACATGATTGCTGTCTGAATCATGTCTTACTCATCCTGTTCTTGCAATCAACAGGCCTAAAAGTGTATGTCTTTATGTGAAAAAAAAAAAAAAAAGACAAATAAATGCTCATTGTTTCCTTAGACACAATACAAAATCAAAGGGATTAAGCAAACCTTATATAAACAGGTATATACCTCTTTGCTATTATAAGCTAAAGTAAATGTTCAGAAGGCTTGGTTCTGGAAAGTGTACACGACTTTAAATAGATTCACTGTTTATCTTTTGATCCCCCATGCTGCTTCATAAGCACAAACACTGGAACTTCAAGGCTCCTTGTGCCTTTGTGCTCAGGTAGCCATTTTTCCTGGGTCAGTTTTAGTAGCTTTGACGGCTCCATGGAAATGTTTTGTCCATTTTCTTCTTTTATTTGCTCAGACTGAAATGGCACAGCTGCCCTATGTGTATTGGAAACATCAYATGGCATGCCTGCTTTGCACCGGGTGATCTATCCATGTATTTAAGGGGAAAATARGAAAGAAAGTTGCTTACATATATCCATGACTTGCCATCAAATCGACAATGTATCTAATATCTGGGAACCGCCATCCAAAAACATCATGAGCTACAATCACAGCTTTGTCCGTCAAAACAGATGGTCTACAAATATATGCCTTAAGGTACTCAATTTGTACTTCCTGTCCAAGGCACCCATAGTGAGATCTGTCTCCAGTATCGTATAGAAAAGGATCAGCCATTTGAAAACCTAAAAAACAAAGAAAATAGAAAAATTAAAAGACAACAAGAATCTAAAAATAATTTGCTAACAAAACTTATTTAGGGCTAAAAAAAAGGCAAATATGTTCTTCAGAAAGTAGTTCAATAACTTCTGTAAATAAAATGGACAACCTTGTATGAAAGGAGAAAGTAGAAAAAAGCAAAAGCAGTGTTGCAGTGTAGAATGCTCTTAGTCTGTTATGTGCTATTAAGCTGAGAATGAAGAGAAATACCAAAATCAAATATCAAATACCAATAACAACTTACAAACAAACTGCACATGCAGGTCTTGACACTCACGTCACATTCGTTTTGTTGCCATGTGCTCAGCACTGGTGTGAAGCCCTATGGCTTCAGATGCTGCCTCTCCCCAGGCATGGGATTATCATGCATGAGTCCATGCTGTTTCTCTAAATTATTTGCAAGGACCACAGCACCCAACTGCTGCATTAAGGTGTAGTGTTCAGTACTTCTCTCAGTGCTCGTGCCTGATAGCTAATCTGTGCTTTCTGCAGCAGCATCACAGCTCTTCTGRGAGCAGATGTATTAGGAGCAGTTAGTGAAAAACTGCAGTATGGATTTGTAAACTASATTCCAATGCCATGTGCCCCTATGCCCTTGAAAGGCATTACAAGGAAACAAGCATGTATGCAAAACTCATTCAGAATACGTGAGAGTATTTGGTTTTGTTCCTTCTCCAAAAGTAGCAATTAAACACAATGAGCCAGTAGATGTACTAGACAGATTAAAGTCAAAAGTTGTTCTGACTCTCTGTGTCAGGAGTTTGGAATGGACTCTGTGCAAAAAGTAGATTGTGATCCTGTAATTAAAAGTGGTGTTACAATGGATCTATACAAGCAATCCAATTAAGTCTGCAGGGGCAGTGATAATAGCAGCATTTCCTACTCATGTACTGACTTTGAAACTGTCCTTGGAGGTGCAGTACATGGGCATATACATTGTGACTCTCTCTGCTTCATCAGTTCTACATCAACCTGTTATTTTAGTTTGTGTTGTAACATGTACTTCATAAAACTAATCTTCATGGAAGAGTAGAAAATTCCTATAAAAATACATGCCTTCCTCAGYTCTCCATTGACTGCAGCAGCAGAGGGCTACGTTTCACAGAGTAATGGAAAATTTTGCTTAGGYAATATGGACACATTTATAACCATATAATATGGTGTGGACAGACTGATGAAAAGAGTTGATGCCACAGAGACTCCCTGCTTGCTTATGCCCTACACATCACTTCCCAGTTTGCATGATTCACCCTGGCACAATAAAAGAATATAAATTTTATATGCATTTAGACTGCTTCATACCCAAKATAATCCAAATTTTGTATGTATTTATACTGCTTTATAGCCAAGTTAATTGGCCTCTCCAATGCATTTTGCAGAGGCCCTGTCCTTCTCCATCCTCTTCCAGCCCTGGAGCTTCTGTCACCAGATCTGGCAGGGCCAGCACTGAGTTTGAGCAGATAAGCTTGATTACAACCATAACTCCTGTCTGATAATGGTGTAGACATGCAGGAACTGGGCAGACATGGCTTTACTGCTCTAATCAAGCTCATTCAGATAAAGCCATGTGGTGGATCATCTCTCATCRCCAGTAATCCCCTGTGTTGATAACTGAGAACTGATTACATGTGTTAATTGTTGTCCCACCTTTCTCAATGTCTGAATGTCAGGCTTGGTGCTAGGAAGCATGAAGCAGCCTAATGTTCGAGACTGAAACCTACACTTGGCATCGTGTGATAGTTGTGACACACATGGGAGATGATCTCCTAGTTTAAGCCCCCCATAATGCTTGAAATGCCTGAAAATGCTTGAGAGAAATCTRTACATACAAAAATGCTTCTTACCTCTCTTTTTATAACAAAAGATGAATGGGCTTGTTGAAGTACAAGAGGCTGCCTGGAGAAAGTGCAGCCACTCCCAAAAACAGCTAACACTTCTGCCTTGAGATGGCAGCCACAGCCTTACTCCACTGCGGTTTTTGTTCAGAAGGGCACAACCTATGGTGTCCCCTTCAAGGAAGTGATGTTTAGCAGGCATTAAACTATGCAACAGTTGTAACCCAGCCTACTCCCTATCCATTGGTTGCTTCCCAGAAACCATTTCTTTGGCTTGTGCTGACTGAGGCCGGGCCAGCTGGCTCCCTTCCAGGCACCAGGCAGTGGTGAACGTTAGTAAATAGTCAGCCACACCTGAACTGCTTGGAAGTTTGATGGGATCCTGTTCAGTCAGAAGCTTCATTTGCTCCTGCCTGCTTTGTCCCACGCAGTGTGGTGTGGCAAAGCAACGTGCCAGGATATTTCCTACTTATCCAGTCTCACCTCATTCCCTCTTCCCACCAATTTCAGCCACTACACTTTTCCTTTTCCTGCTTTCCCCACGGCACAGCTCCAAGCAGGCAGCATTTCACCTTCATGCCCCGCTCCTCATCACTGAGCTCTAGCATAGAGAAGATGCAGCGCCAGCTGGGAGTAGGGGCATAGAGGTGACGTGCAAAAAGYAGGGGCATAAAGGTGAGAGGCAAAACTGACTGCAGCTAATGGGGAAAACTACAGATATTGATGAACCTGATGTCATCCTWCTGCTCCTTAAGAGAAAGCTTTTCCTTCTATCCAGTGGTCCTGCCCTTCATTGGATGTCTTGATATCATTCAGCTTTCATTCAAGAAACATTAAAACTGAGGAGAGTTATTWACACAACACAAAGGTGGGCTCCTTTGGGTGGTAGGACATTCACAAACTTCTGCATTTCTAGGGAGCAACAAATCACATAGTTATAGTCTGCTGAGCCTTTCTTTTCAACAGGAAAAAAMAAATCTCTATGCGGAAAGTGAGGTTAAAAATCTCTTTTTAAAAACAGTCAGGTTAAACAGAGGCAAAGATACTGCTAAGGACAATCTCTGCTTCTCAGAAAGTGAGTATGAGCACGTGATCTCCAAGTGCTGTGCTGTTTGGCAGGACCTTGGRCTACTGATGCCAAGATGTGACATCTCTGCCCTTTTCCCGGGTCAAGCGATAACATTTTAAGCTACAGCATCAATTCATTTCARTGCTAAGTGCTCAATGGACCAAACAAGGAAAAGAATGGAAATTCATTATTGTAAGGGCAAAAAAATTATTATGGTCCTTTAATGTTAACTTGCTACTGATGAACATAAATTATCAGTGCCCTCAGAACTACTGCTGTGCCATGGCTTGTAGCAAAGACTCAAAAAGGAAGTCAGTCTTTCCCAAAGCTGACAGCCTTTATCTTCACCTAATCTGCCCCTTAATACTTATCTTTGTGCMATTTTTGCACTGAAACCAACRTAATAGTCTCTCTTTAAAGGATTAKATTTTACTGATTGTTTCWTGCCTTTTCAAAGAGCTTTATCTACTTGCTTAACAATTTCAGATTTTTTCCTTTCAGCACAGGTAAAAGTAGTTATCTTTTTCTGCTGTCAACTTATTCTGTATGGACCAGTTTGCCCTCACATACCTGGAGTGCAGGATCCTGTTTCAGCCCAGCTCACTTCTTCTGCTCAGTGAGACACCAGCTAGATTYCTCTAAACAGGCAGAGAAGAAAACCAGTTCTTGCTGACAGTTTTGCTCCTGGTGCTGCCCATCCAGTTTTCAGGTGCTCTTCAAYGCTTCTGCAGATTTTGGGATTGGGAAGTGAGGAGGAGAGGCTTCGCTCAAGAGTCATCCCGAACGGAAGGGGTGGGGACAGATCATGCAGAGAGGCAGTCTGCAGCAGGCTCCACATCAGTTGCTTTTACTCCACCTTTTATTTATTCATTATCTAAGGAGTTTAGAAAGAAAGATGCACCCAAACACTCYACTGCACTATGATGTATGAGATGCACCTATGTAAGACACTGCACAGGCTTTAGACTTCAGTATTTATAACTGAGATATTTAGCATTGGTGGTGTATCTGCTGATGAATTTTCTTGAAGAATATTCATATACTTTACTGACTATAATAAATGTCATTCATGAAATGTCATTCATCTTAATTTGTTAAGATGAATCTGTTCTGGCAAACTTGCAGCTTGAAAAATTTACTAAGTCTCCTTAGCACACACATTAAACATATTACAACCACACCCATGAGTATTCTCARCAAGTTGAAAAGTGTTCCAGGTTATTTGTGATTAGACTTGCATTCAGCAAGCAGGAAAGGCTTGAATCAGGGGTGGCTTATTGAAATTTTCCATTCCTATTTCCACAGTGTCACTGTATGCAAGGCACATTAACTTAGCCCTCAGTCTGACATACACTCATTTCCYCTGTGTGTACATGTGGTTTGAGTGTGTGTGTATGTTTGGGAGCAGAGGGGTATGCAAACAAGAGAGATAAAAGAGCTCAAAAAATTATCATGTAATTTCWGGACAAGGATCAATAAAGAAATTTTTATTTTTAGTGTATATGACAAACAAGTTCCCCAGTCACTCAGCAGACTCTCGGGAAATCTCTGTATGGTAGGAACCACAATCCGAGGACTATGTTAAACAGGTGATGGATGGAATCAGTTCACCAGACTTCAGACATTTACAATAATGATGTCTACATGTCAGCAAGATGTCTACAGTCCCATAGTGTCATCAATATTTGGTGTATGATTCACACTCCATGGGTATCTTTTTTTTGAATGAAAATAGGTAGTCCCCTAAATGACCCAACTAGTACAACATGATTGCTGTGCTGAGTGCTTAATAACCCAGGCACAATGAGTCCTACCTCTGTGTGCTATRGGAGCTGCACACAACTCAAAATTAAGGTTTGTCATGACCAGAAAGAGGGTGTTTGTCCTGTCCTACCTGTCAGTAGATTTGCACATCAGGATTGTACAAGAAACCATTAAAAAGATTGCTTGTGTTGCAAGGGAGGGAGTGGGGAGATTTGACTGAAAAGATCCRGTTTGTACTTTGATATTAATGGCATCTTGCTTGACCTTGTGTAACCCCAACCAGACGGGTATCCTGTACTCAGATCCACAGACTGATGTATTGTCTTCCTACCTTGACCCTCCCAAATTTGGATTCATCCAAGCTGCAGCCCCCTGTGGAACAGATGGGCCAGCAGAGGCATAGATCTGATCCCACATGCATCTCATGCCTGTAAACCCTGTCTKGGTGCCCAGCCTTGGGGGTGGTTTGGGTGGAAGGAGAGCAAAGGACTCCCTCTGCTGTAATGCAAGCCTTTGCCTGTTTATGTTTGACCCACAARCCCTCGATCATTCAGATCCTCCATTCCTGATGGAACTGTCTTTTTCTATGTGAGATACTATCACCTCTGTAATGGACTCAGGATTATGGAGGGCATTGCACCCATGAACTTCCTACAGTCTCAAGCAACTTATATATTCAATTTTTATGCCTTCTGTGAATCTCTATTTTTAGGGTTAAAAAAAAAAGGAGGAAGACAGATAATAGTTGGAAAGAGTACAACAGCTTTACTTGTTCAAACACACAGTGGTGGAATTTCTCCTTTACCTGAGACACACAGCTGGTTTTTGATTGGCTCAATTTCTCTTTTTCCTGAAGGCTTGCACTAGTACTTCTCTGATTGGTCCTCCTGGTTTTACAGAAATGGGCATAGAATAAAGCCCAAAAGTTAATCACCACAGCTGTTGGCTGCAATTTTTGCTGTATGTCAATAACAGAAACAAGATCCTAGGACATGCAAGCCTGCTGCCCTGAGGCAAATCAGAAAGATATTCCCTCTCAGACTGATAGCTAAAACCCCAGAAAAGCAGGTACTCGGGTGGCATCTAGTGCAGAAGTGAAACACTCAGATGGAGAAACCAATGAGCAGGCTTAAACATGCCCAATTTACAGTCACCTSGTACAGTATTTGGAGTGCTGCTAGTAACAACAGACTTTGTCAGAAAGCTGAAATCATTACAAATGTTTTATTTGTGTTGTGAAAAAAAAATTTCGAAGCATCTCTGTTGAATGATCAGAATGCAGCCCTGAAGCTGCAGATGAGGCCAGAGGGAGAGCRGGGCTCCCCTCTCCTCTTACTGGGGCCAGCCAGCAGTAGCAGCCTGGTTAAGGGGTTGCCACTGCTGAGGAACCACTGGGGAGGCTCCCGGGAAGGACTACAGCAGAGGAATGGTGGGATGGGGTCAGGACAGGGCCCCTCTGCAGAGCCAGGTGTAATATCACTGTAATATCACTCTGTACCCAACATCTGCCTTCAAAGCAAGAGGAATCCTTCGGGATTGAGGCCACTTCAAGAGGAGTATAGATATTCCCTCTAACAGAGCATCACTGAAAAGAAAGTCTTATTAATGGGCTTGTAATTTGGAGCTTGGTTTGGTGGTTTTTTGTTTTTTTACCRCCATCCAGTAAWATACCTACTGAGTTGGGAGGAAAGAAACACATTTTAACAAAACTGATTGAATACTCCAGGTTTCTAGCTTGGGTGTCCAGTCAGTGTTTGAATAAAGACCCTTGGAAATCAGGCCAGCTCTTCTTGTTGCAAATCAAGGCTTGGCAGAAGGTTTACATGTACAGATACTTTCTTTGACATCAGTGAAAACTAGTCTTGCACTTACAATTTTATTCTTCCCCATTTACCTAGAGTGCTACGCTAAAGCTGATGGCTGCCTTTGCCYGGAGCATTACAAAAATTCTCTAAGTAATCCTGTGATTTGGTTAGTAGTGACCCATATCCCCTCTTTCCCATGTTTTTCCAGGTGTCTAAGAAGAAAGGCTCCGAAGTCTCTCCTTGTGGGAGCGAATGACGTTATCTGCTTCATCTGGTTCATCCTTGGCAGGCATGGTGATGTTCCCTGCGCTGATCACAGCACCTGCTGCTCCTCACAGGGCATCAGGACCAGGGTGATTGCTGCTTCTTCACTATAAATCTTTGCATCTCTCAACATGCTTCCACTCCCTYGTGATTTGATTTGCTGCTGAAAAATAATAGACTCAATCTGTCATCATCTCTCCCTTTGGCCGTGTCCCCATTGCATCCGCCCCCTCTCCTGGCCCTCCACTCTGCTCCATTAATGTAAGTTATTTGAAGCCACTGGTTTCAACTGGTGTCTGCTTATCCCTTTTAATGTCCTGGGATTTTTCTGGGGTAAACAGGTCTCAGGGCATCCAAGTACTTATCTACCTAAAATCAATAYTATGACTTTGACCACAGGAGCAGAAGGATGATCCCCAAATTATAGTTTTCTATAGGTGTGTTGCTAATTTGCTTGTTGGCAATGTAGAACTAGTTGACTCAACAGCTTCTGGGTTTCTCATGCCTGGCTTGGATTAATTTTTACTTAAAAATRAATTGTGAATGTTTATTCTCAAATTTTCAATTTTTCCTGAAAGAGTTTGTGTGATTTCAGAGGGTGTTCTTCATGAACTTTATAGAAAAAGGGTGGAGTATAACTTTAATTATGCCAAGCAGTAACAGGAAACTTATTTTAATATTGTGGGTGACATGCAAAGAGGGGTATTAAAATTACTTACGACTGTCCAGGTGTTTCTAGGTTATTCAGCAGTTCTTCAACYTTATTAAGAAACACTTTTAATGGAATTTCAGTACAAGGCAAATTATTCCAAATAATAATGAATAATAATAGCAGCATATAGGGAAAATACTACATTCTGGATCAATGGCTCCAAAACAGGTACTCCAGATCAAAGGCAGCATTGATTTTTCACTGAACACTATAAATGCAGACTGAGCAAGACAACAGAATTAAGAGTACACGGATAATTGCATGGACTAGGAGCTGATTTCCTTGTCTAAAAATCTAAACATCTACTTTGTATATGATTTAAGAACTTGTCATTGTCTTTTTTCTTACCAAATATTTTGTCTTCTTGTCTAAAACTACAAAAATTTTAAATGCAGTAATTACCAAAAACCAATTTTTTTTTCAGTATTCACAACTCAGTGTATAACTTCCAATGATGAATTCATTACATATGTTTAATCATTGAAACCGAATTTTGTATGCAGAATTTTCCCTGTAAAATGTTKGTTTAAAAAACATATGTTTGGTTTGTTTTATTCCAGGACACAGGTCCTTTTACCTTTTTCTTTTCTTATTTCTTTATTTGGTATGTCTTGTCTTGTACAAAACTCAACTAATGCTCATTTTATATTTCAGGAACTTTCTGGGATCAATCAACTGGAAGGGAGTAATTTTGTTTCCTTGTAACTGGGGTCATATTTGCACTGAGATGTAAATGCTATTTCAGTCTTCAGTACAAATAAGCTGTCCTGGACAAAAAGCTGCACCTTGTACCCATAGAATTTACCTCACTTTGCAGAAGAGGTAACTTTCTTGCACAGAAATCTGGCTTCTCCTTTGTAAACTCCCASTGTGCACTTGAACAATTTCATTTGWCTGRGATTTTCCAAGATGTCCCTTTTAAAGCCAAGAGGACCCCAAAATTTCCACCTGCATATGATCTGCCACTGGTTATACATCTTCCAGAGGAATCTTTAGGGGTTTGTTTTTTTTTCCCAACTGGAGAAAAGAAAACTGTTTGCAAGTATCACTGATTATTGAACAAATCTGGCAAAAATTACTGTGCAAATCAAGGTGTTAAACTCCAAAACTTTACACAGAGTGCCAGGAAAAAAAATTTTTTCCCATGTTTGCTTAACTTTAAAAGTCCTGTTTTGCAAATATGCCTATGCATTAGTAATCTTGGAATGCATCCAGACAGCTTTGGATTATATCCCACAAAGTAATACAGACGCCTAAGTGCAACATCAAAGCAACAAGTTTAAGGAGAGTATATATAAGAGCTTCTAATTATATAACAAGATAATTACCATACATAATTCAGAGCAATCAAGGGGCTTTATTAAATATGTTTGCAGAGAGCATCTGTCTCACCCTTTTTCTAATATGAGATAATGAACTTTGGCCTAGCAGAAAAAAAAATATGTTTTGGTGTAATCCTGCAAATGGTTGAGACTGTGCTGGAAGACTATTCTAAGTCTGCCATTTGAACAAAATGAGTTTCTAAGATTCTCTGTGGTGGTGTAAACACATAATGGAGCAACTCAGAAGACAAAAGGGGTCCAGGCAGGAAGGGAGCCAGTCCCCTGTGTGAATCCTGTCCTGCACTGCCCAGGAAGGCACAAGGCAATGTGCATTCCATATGGAAGAGAACACTTGGGCCAGGCAGGCCAACCAGACTGCAGCTACTGCCCTCCCWACCTAGTTCAGGTGCCTGTGGCATCAAACATCATGGTGTGGAAGAGCTTCTCTTCCCCTGCCCGCCAGGACAGTTCAAACCTTTGCAAGCGCTCTGTGTGCCCAAGCATGTGTGCCAAGATTGAACTCCCAAGCTTGCCCTTTCACAGCTCAATTGTGAACCAGTGAGTTCTAAACTGGAGTCTTCAGCAAGGAGACAGCATGAGATTAAGCAAGAAACTTCAAGGCCTGGTCAGATTTGCTCTAAAGAAATGATATTAGAACTTCCAGACCTCAAAATTTCCAGCATGCTGCTTCCTTCTTGGCTGAAATAGATCTCAGTTTCCTGATAGACCCACAACRAATTCTTAGAATGTTGAGATATTATAGGCCATGAGACGAAAAGTGCAGGCTGACCTTATTCAATCCTTTGCAAAGTTCACCTCTAAGGTGCTTTGATTTTCCCTTTTTTCCCTGGAAGTTTCAGAGATGATAGCCTGTCTTTACTTGACACAGCATAGACCATAAGGCAGATCCCTTCCAAAGATCTGTCTTGAGCTGCAGCTCAGACCTCAGGACAAGCTCAGGTGTTCATTACAGCCTGTTCTCCTGGTTCCGGGGGAAAACCCAATCCAAACCTGAAACCTCAAACTGAAATCAAATCCTCAGTCACCTGGCTCTTCAAAGAGACTAACACGCTGCACGCAACTCATTAACTTCCCCAGAACTCCTGCCTTGTTTGTAGGTTTGCCTGGGGAGCTGAGATCCATTTTTTTTAGTGAAATCACCACTTGCTTCTATGAAGCCAGGCCCCAGTGAGTTTCTTTTCTTTGTGTGCAAACATTTTCATAAGTCAGGATACAAACAATAAACAAGTTCTCCAGGGTGTGGATCACCTTCTGCCTTGTTATCTGGATAGARAGGAAAGGAGAAAAGGGAAATTAGTCATCTTCTCTGCAGGAGGAATTCATAGTGTGCCTCCACCATCATATACTCTTTCTCATGGGTGATAGACTGGTGCTAATGGGAAGCATTTGCCTGAATGTTCATAGAGAAGGTAAAACCTAGATATAAAGCAGGTGGGAGCAATGCTGTGGGAGGAGGCCTTGGACAGGCTGCTTCTGAAAGAAGGACCCAGGCCTTTCAACCTAAGACACATGCCCTCAGTGTAGACCGGAAGATTTAACATAAATATGCTGGGTCAGAGATCCATGTTCAACCTATGGCTCCACCATGCTCATTTGTACAGAAAATGCCATACCTACATGGATACTTCTTACCTTCTGTGTTCTCTGGAATACTCTGCCTTGGTACAGACACTTCTGTTTTTATGTGAGTCAGAACCAGAAACCTGATTCCTCTCATTCCAGCCAGATACCAGTGTACTATTAGCTATTCCAACACTCCCTCTCTTCTCTGGTTTTAAGCAGAAAATGCTGCCTACTGCTGATCTCTTCCCCTGAAATTTCTTCAAAAGTGTCATCACAACTGAATTTTGATCGCATGGATTTTTTGACAGTAAGTATTTATCCTAAAATAATCACATCTAGCTCATTTCAATTCCTCAAGAGTTAAACCCCACAATTTAGCTGAACACAATCCTTCTGTATGTTGTTCAACAATCATAAGTACTTTYCTATAAGAAAAGACATAAATGCCAACATTTTCAAACTTAAACCTATGAGAGCTAAATAAATTCCCAAAGACAATTACATATGTGAATTAAGAGTGAACAGTAAGTGTAGCCTGACTCAGAAGAACAGCAATGAAACTACACACTCCTCATTGAACTTGTGAATTATGTAAACAGAAAAACAGAAATTAAATAAGGCACCTTCTTGGCACTGTAATTTAGGTTCTTGATTACCATGCAAGTTGCTGTTATAATAAAGGTTTGTTAAGAGGTCTATTTTATGTTTCCTGCTTTGATGGGATAGAAAGSTTTTGTGAAGTTTGGGAAACAATTGTCTTCCCTAAATGCAATCTAGATCTTGCACATTTCACCTGAGTACACTTCAAAGTAATTTTTTCTTTGTTTATGTTCATCTTGCAGGCAGCTGAACTACTGTCAGTCGTGTTGATCACTACTGGAAACCTCCCAGAGAATCTGCAAACTTCTTCCAAAGGTTGTTAGGAATTCTTCTTATTCTTTAGGTATGGTATATTTTCAAGGAATTCTTCTTTCAGTGTTCTCCCAACAGCAGCTGAAAATCAACAATTCCAATCTCCTCATCACACTTGTAACTTTCTTTTCTCTTGTACTAAATGGCTTTCCGTTTATCTTAAATGCAAATTTTGCAAAAAAAAAGAAAATACATTTTTTTCTGATTTTCATTATGAAAACAAGAAATATATGGAGTTTTCCAGTTTGTTATCTCCAGATTAATAAAAAACACAAACATGACTGGGATGCTGAAGAAGAAGCCAAGTTCAAACCAAGCTCAGAAGARCAGAAGAGTCAAGTCAGTACAGTTCCCAGTTCGGCAATGGACAGCACTCACCCAAAGTCTCAGCCACTTTATTCCCTGGGTTCCAGGGGGAATTTTGATTTGTTTGTGAGCACAGCACTAAATATATATGGCAAATTTCTAAGTACAATGGATCCAAGTGAGTGAGAATTCATTACTTTCAGCTTTCAACTTCCATTAAAATATGGTCATAATAAGTAACAGGAAATGAGAAGGCAAAGAATCTTATTAAATATCTGGGATTAGATATGATACGAAAGCATAGGACATTAGTTGCTCTGCATGTTATAAATATGGGTTTCCAAAACCAGAAAGAGATCTTTAATGCCTTTCTTCTCATGTGTCTTTAGGAGACACTCTAAATTCAAACCTTTTCTTGGTTATGATAGCTGCTCTGGAATTCATTCTGCATCCAAAATCTACAAGCCAATCTGAAGTATGCTGCAGGTCTAAGAATATTTCAGATACAATATTAAAGATATGTTAACATAGCTGAATCAGAGCATTTAACATAAGTATACACCTTCAACCCCAAGTTTTGGACTGCAGTGAGAAAACCTATAGCAGAAAATCAAGCACAAGCTCTTTTTGCTGTACAGATTTCCAATTCACCTACATTCACAGATCGTCATTGCTCAGACGATCGAGAGCTCTGGCTCACCTCTCTTGTCCTCTTGGACTTCCTCCTGTTATTGCAAGGTGCAGGCWGTGTGAACACACTGATTCACACAGGCATGCTGCCCTGAAGGGCTGGGYTGACGTGATGCCGGACGTGCTACCCTCCTTCGTGTCCAGGCTCACGCAGCAGGCTCTTGAGAGCTCATGAGACCACTTGGTGTGTCAGTGCTGAAACACTCCCATACCCCTCCCTTCCTGGTGGAGAGTTAAAGCCTATCTATCTCTTTCCTCTTGGCTTCAGACTGCTTGGTACTGCCGACAGGACATTTTAGCAGCTAGGATTTCGTACAGAATTTCCCAGATTTAGACCAAAAATTCACTGAACATCATTTGGGTGACAGTTACTCCTACCTGGTTCTCATCCATAAGACCAGGTTAGAACTTTCTGGCATGTTCTTCCCCACATCCCCCTGAAAAGAGGGACAAGGGACAGTGCCTGGCATAGGAAATGAGACTRGACACCACTGGGGCTTGAGAAATGCTGCACTCTCTGTAGCTGAGTGGAGCTGAAACCATCAGCTCCTGGCACATCCCCCCAGTGCTCCCATGGAAAGATCCAAGTCCCCACATCTTTCTCCCAACCCACATCCAGCCCCAGCTGAGCACAGGCAATGACTGACCCAGCTCAAGGGACTCTGGCAGTCATGGGATGTGATCTGGGGTCTATTACAGTGAAGCCACAGCAGCCTGAGGCAAGACAGCAGATTGGCACCCCCTGGTGACACAGTCATTCAGCTGCCACCAGTGCTCCAGTGCCACTAGCTAGCAAGGKGCAGGGCAGCTGTGCAGGATGCTGCTTCAAATGTTGAAGGCTTCAGACACCTGCAAATGCCCTAGAGTCCCTCAATTAAAAAAGTCTTCTTTAATTAGGTGGCATGTCTGGCCCATCAAACCGGCAGATGGTCTGAATTGGGTGCAAGCCACCGTGGTCCCTGCCTGACCGGCCATAGCAGGCTCCAGAGATGCTCCATCTCCTCTGTGACCTTCTCACGGTCTCCAAACCACCTCCTGGGCCTGGAGTAGWGGTGCCCCCTGGTGACAGCCTTGGAGCTCTGTCACCTCTCGRGGTCGGTCCATGCTCCCCATGTCCAGGTCTCTGTTGCCATAACACTTTCAATGTACATTGTGTAATTTTGCTGTTGGTTGAGATGAGGCTGACTGACCTGTAGTTCCCTGAATCCCCCTTTCTTGCCTTGAAAATAGTTGTGACACTTCCCTTTTCCCTGTTTTCAAGGATCTCCTCTCCCTATCACCATTTTTTAACTTCATAGAATCTCCTTCATAGAACCCAACGTGGAATGGTTTGRGTTGGAAGAGACTTTAAAGATCACCGAGTTCCAGTCTCCCCCCATCGTGGGCAGGGACACCTTCCACKAGAGCAGATTGCTCAAAGCCCCATCCAGYCTGKCCTTGAAYACTTCCAGGGATGGAGCATCCACAACTTCTCTGGGCAGATCCTTCTAGTCTTTCTCTCAATCCCACTCACACTCCTCCCCATCTTGCCCTACTCATCTTGGCCATGATATTCATCATGATCCTTTCCACCATGTATCTTTCTAGTTCCTGGCTGTTCTTCCTGTACTCCTGCACAGTAGGGCCTCTGTSCAGCAGAGAAGCTCTATTTGCCCAGCTTCAGCTTACCCTCACTGGGACTGAGTTTGAGGGAGAAGAAGAGTTGTCCATAAGCCTTTGCTTTCGCTGAAACTACTGTGAAATTTAGGCATCCCAGAGAACTCCCTGCCCTTTACTGTATAAAATTCTCCTATGCCTTTCCATAGAAGCAGGATCAGGATCTTGGCTCAGCAGGACCAGTTTGTCACCCTGAATATATAAGACCTGACTGGAAAATTTGGTACAAGTTTTGACAGCAGTTTCTGCTCTCAGGTCTCAGGTGATAATGAATCAGAAAAGACAGGCTCTCAGAAGACTCTTCCATCTTAAGCAGTGATAAACTAGACACTCATTTTTAAAGTAGGAACTTTCCCAGATGTTCTCCATTGAAAAGTACAGATTCCAAACAAGGTTGTTGTCAGAAGAATAATGGTGATGTGGAATGCAGCKTCTGAAATAGTCTTCAAAACTTCAAGGACAAGGCCATTAAAAATAAATACCATGTACTGCCATGTCCATGTGTATTGTCTCCCTGAGATGACTCTTTCTTTAGCACCTTTACCCAGGCTGAGGCCCTGGCAGAGGCCCATCTTACATGACCAAGTTAAAAAATGAGTATAAAAATGTTTAATTGAGACACAAAGGGGAGTGAAGAGATTGTACCTTTTGAGTAGTAAACATGTTTGACATTCGATGTCAGTCATCCAACTGAAAATCTGCTTCACTGAAACGAGCATTTTTCTTGGACATCAAAAGCATTAAGTGGTTTCTTCACYGTATTCTCTGACCCTGCACTGAAGGCCGTACACACATCGAATACATTATTGCCATAGGGAGATAAGCAAAAATTGGGGGTTATGCCCCATGATTCACATTCTCGGTGTGCAGACTACAGTGAAGTGAAAGTAATCACAGAAATCAGACAACCTTACAAAATAGGTCATTGACTCTGATCAACCTGTAATAACTCTGACCTTTAGACCATGGCTCACTTTCCCCTGGACACTCTTTTTCCTGTTGCTGTAAACATTTGAGAAAAAGTAATGACAAGTTATTACRAATCTAAACTTTTCTGTACTCCTTTCCTAGTCAGTGCAGCAGAAATAGAGGCTGTAACGTAAGTGTTGTTACAGAAATTAACTGTAGTGACTACATGGATCATTCTCCCTAACAGATACATTTTCTTTTTGGCAACACTCATGGTTTTAAATGAAGTAGAACTGAAACTTGCCCTGAGGAGTTAAATTTAATATGGTTGGCAGTCATAACCTTTAATAACATCTGGAAGGTCAAGATAAAGGTTTCTGGCAAAATAAGATTGTGCTAAATACYGAGGATAATCCCTAACTGCTGTCATCTGCAGGGATATTTTCACAGAATTTTAAAGACATGAGTACCARCATGTCCTCAGAAGCACTCATAAGCTGTCACTTGACGATGGTAACGTTTCACACCACACCCTCTTTTACCAAGGAGATCAAAGTTCTAGAAGTAGGAAAAAATCCTTCTAATCTAATGACACAAATATCTAAATATCTAAAAGATTCACTTGGACGTGATGGAAGTCTTTTAGGTACAGAACTGTACACTTCAAATTATATTACAGTTACTAGAAATGGTCTTTTGAAAGACCAATACAGCCTTTTTTTTTTTTTGCTGTTGTTATTTTTTTGTTTGTTTGCTTGTTGTTGCTGTCTCGGGTTCTTGGTTTTTTGGGGTTTTTTGCTTTGTTTTTAATGTTTTTGAATGTGGGAGACCTCCACCAAGTAACTCCAGACACAGAGCTCTGAATCCCAAGTAGATTATAATAATAACAGCCACTGGCTCTATTCTCAACATGACAGCAGGATCCCACCTAAGCTGATAGGGTTTTAAATAGAAAATCCAMTGCAACACATGAGAAAAGATCCCTGCTGTGTTAAAGAACTATAATTTGGTGAAGCACATTCTGCTTCTCTTGAAAACAGCCATAAAGTTCTGCAAATACTTTTTTACTCCTTGGAAATGCTTTTTACTATTACCTAYGTTCTTGAAATCTAGACATATAAACAGCCTTAATTGTCTTTTCAGTTAGACTCATTAAACAGTGACTTTTCCAGCAGTATCACTTAGACTAGGCTTTTTATCCCATCTCTCACTTAAAATGCTAGTGGGCATAGTTTCTTTCTTGGTTGAAATATTAATAATCCATAGAAAAAAAGCCCGTGCATGGCCAAGCATCTCCTCAGAAACAGTTTCAAAAATAAGCAGGTCTGGAGCCTATGTCATGGCTCGGTCTGATGATGCTCAGCCATTATGTCCATCCCTTAATTAATGTTTGGTACAGTACATTTCACAGCACAAAACATGAACCACAACTCACATATTCATCCAGGAAGTTTGACTCTTCCAGCAGCTACTAATCATAGTCCAGGTCTAGTAAAAAACAAGCTCAGTCGAAGGGAAACACATTGGTCAGTACCTCATATACTGAGGCACCATGTATGTAGTACCCATGCAGCAGCCTGRGCTTCTCCAAGAGAAGCAGCAAACGTCACTGCACTCACAGCAAATCCAAGAGTACTTCTCTCCAGCTTCATTCCAGGAGCCTATAGCCACAGCAGCTACCTGCTGGTCAGGGGTGGTTCAGGAGATGTCACGGCAGAATGGCCACTKGCCAGGAAGCACATCCTCTAAAGGCCCTGCAGAGCACAGGGAACAATCAGGCTGGCWGTGGCTTTCACCATGTGTTTTTGTAGTCTGCAGATCTCCGTGATTTCTGACTGTGTCACAACAATTTTCTATAGACCATACTTSGTGCTTCACACCAAAGAGCCTGTTTTGATAGTTTTTCTCCTGCCATGGAACCTCTGGGCCTCCCTAGTGGTGTTGCATCATGTAGGAACCAGATATGGGTTCACTCCAAATGCTGCTTGGTTTTCCAAGATAAGCTGGCATCCACTTGGTTTTATTTAAGATAATCCATCATGTTTTCCACATTTCTGCAACTTGCTATTGCAATAACTAACTGAACCAATTGTGCAGGGAGAGTCAGGTGAACAGCTGAGGGAAATAATTAGGACAGCACTTAAAAAACCCCTCCAAACAATTGGTTAAGAAATTAAATGTGTTTTGAAGTGTTTCTCTATAGAAAAATTGAAAAGCAGTAGTTTTAGCTCTTTGGTTTTTTTCAATACTCTAAACTTTCAAAGTAACTCCAAAAAATGTAAAGCAATAATTTTATCAAGCCATTTTAAAATGTGAGGGAACACAGAAATGTCAWAGTAGAAATGCTGGATTGTTTGCATTTTGCAATTAATTTTTATTCTCTTAATAGAACTTCTSRATAAAAATACATWATCTAAGCATTTAAATTATATAAAACCAAAATAGAAACATATTCAAAAGAAACTTGTMTTTTTTTCCACTCTATCCACACTTATAAATATGCTTTTCCTTTTGCAATAAAAATTAATTAAATGTCACATTAAAATGCATGAT